TGAACTTGTCGGTGAATTAATTGTCGGTGAACTAAGATGTCGGTGAAGTGATTGTCGGTGAAATGAGCACCACCCGTGTGGGGGAGAGGGAAGGAAGGGAATTTATTGCATTATATATACAGTTGTCCTCCTCTACAGTCACCTCCTATATAGTTACACCCTCTTTATAAGCACTATTTACTTTAGAGAGTGAGGGTAATGTAAAACACAGAATTTAATTGGTTTGACTTTATGAGAATAAAAATTTGCCAATTAAATATGGTCTGTATGACATACCATTGGTTTGTAAATATGTCATCAATCACACTTGGATCTATTTTAAGTTTTTGGTTTGTTCCAAATTCATTGAAGAGCTTTATTACTTGCTTTTTAGATAAATTAGGGTTCTGATAAGGATTTCGGACAGAATGGTGAATCGTAATCACTACTTGAATCCAGTTCAAGAATTCTAAAAGTTCCAACGATTATTATCGAAAGAATTGGATAACCAACATTCAAGTTCATAATAGCATACTTCACTGTACGAAAGCAACCAAGAAACTCATTACGGATCGTATCAGTTGCATTGAACAATCTATCGAACTCATCAACAAATATAACAACAGAGCTCCACTTGTTAAATGCAATTGAAAAATCACCTCCGGACTTGATGGTATTGTCACGATTTTCTTAAGAAAATCGTGACTTATAGTAACGAGAATGTGTATACCTCGGGTCATAAGAATATTATAAGTGGCGAAAACTTAGAGGTTTAGATCTGTACAAATAAATATTTAATTCGTCATCTTTGTTTTTATTTCTATATCTATAGATTCTTTTTATTTGTTTGTTATTGTGAGGCATGGGGATTAGGTCTGGAAAAGCTTAGAAGCATAATGGTAAAATCGGCTTAGAAAGTATAGGTCTGGTCGGGCTAAGGTTGGATGGGTTAACAACGTTAGAACAACAAAGTATAGATCCAGACTTAAAAATAGGAAGTGTATTTTGTCTTTGTAGTAAGCCTTCAATGTATTTCGAAAGTATAAAAGAGCTACCTCTACGCTCTTCAAATAAAGCTTTAGACTTCGATGTCTTGGTTATAAAGGATATAAGAAGAATCGATTTCTCAATTGATGTTATAAGTTTATTGTCGTATTGTTGTATTTATTGTTATTTCTCTTATTTTAACCGTGAAGGCTCTTCACGATCGTATTATACACTTTTTGTTATTACCCTATTACTCTATTACCTTATAAGTATCGACCCTTAATATTGGTTGTACTGATTAACTATCATGATTACTGATCTACCGGTAGATATAATTAAGTGCCCCGATCTCGAATTAATTACCTATCTCACGTGCACAAGTTATTACTATAATCGACCATATTATTTACCTTAATATTCCTGTTCTAATATATAGAACATATAAGTTCACTATTGGAGTTAAATTGTGCCGATATTGTAAAAGCTCTCCCAAACAAAAGTAACAGTATTTAAGTCATTAAAAAAAGGGTTATTGCATATTTGGAGGCTTCTTGTTATATCCATCCAGAAACATTCTTCGTTAGTGCTCATACTAACATTTTGCAAAGTAACACTAAAGAAGAATTAGTAACTAGGTGTGTTTATTAGGAATTGCAATATACATTATTGAGAAAGAAATTTACTAGAAGCAATGACAGTTATGTTCTTCTGTTAACTGCTGCATAGTTC